TGGTGTGTGTGTGTGTGCGTGGTGTGTGTGTGTGTTGTGTGTGTGTGTCTCTGTGTGTGTGTTGTGTGTTGTGTGTTGTGTGTGTTGTGTGTTGTGTGTGTGTTGTGTGTTGTGTGTTGTGTGTTGTGTGTGTGTGTGTTGTGTGTTGTGTGTGTTGTGTGTGGCGTGTGTTGTGTGGTGTGTGGTGTGTGGTGTGTGTGTGTGTGGTGTGTGTGTGTGTGTGTGGTGGTGTGTGTGTGTGGTGTGTGTGGTGTGTGTGGTGTGTGCTGTGTGTGGTGTGTGTGTGTGGTGTGTGTGTGGTGTGTGTGGTGTGTGTGCTGTGTGTTGTGTGTGGTGTGTGTGTGTGGGTGGGTGTGGGGGTGTGGGGGTGTGGGGGTGTGGGGGTGTGGGGGTGTGGGGGTGTGGGGTGTGGGGGTGTGGGGGTGTGGGGGTGTGGGGGTGTGGGGGTGTGGGGGTGTGGGGGTGTGGGTGTGTGTGTGTGTGCACGTGTGCACGTGTGCGTGTGCGTTCGTGTGTGTGTGTGGTGTGGTGGGGTGTGGTGCGGTGTGGTGTGCTGTGGTGTGGTGCGCTGTTCTGTGCTGTGCTGTGCTGTGGTGTGGTGTGGTGTGGTTGGGTGGGGCTGGTTGGTTGGTTGGTTGGTTGGTTGGTTGGTTGGTTGGTTGGTTGGTTGGTTGGTTGGTTGGTTGGATGCTTGGTTGGTTGGTTGGTTGGGTGGGTGGGTGGGTGGGTGGGTGGGTGGGTGAGGGGGTTGGGGGTGGGTGGGTGGTTGTGTAGATTGTTTGCTTGTTTGTTCTTTCTTTCTTTCCTTCCTTCCTTCTTTCCTTCTTTCTTTCTTTCTTTCTTTGTTTGTTTGTTTGGTTGGTTGGTTGTTTGTTTGTTTGTCTGCATGCTTGTTTGTTTGCTTGTTTGTGTGTTTGTTTGTTTGTTTGTCTGATTGTTTGCTTGTTTGTTTGTTTGTCTGATTGTTTGCTTGTTTGTTTGTTTGCTTGCTTGCTTGTTGTTTTGTTTGTTTGTTTGTTTGTTTGTGTGGTTGGTTGTTTGTTTGATCGTTTGCTTGTTTGTTTGTTTGGTTGTTTGGTTGTTTGGCTGTTTGGCTGTTTGGTTGTTTGGTTGTTTGGTTGTTTGGTTGTCTGGTTGTCTGGTTGTCTGGTTGTCTGGTTGTTTGTTTGTTTGTTTGTTTGTTTGTTTGTGTGTTTGTGTGTTTGTGTGTTTGTGTGGTTGTGTGTTTGTGTGGTTGTGTGTTTGTTTGTTTGTTTGCTTGCTTCCTTGCTTGTTCCTTGCTTGCTTGCTTGTTTGTTTGCTTGTTTGTTTCTTTCTTTAAATGCTTTTTTTGATTATTTTGTTCGCGTGATTGTTTGCTTCCTTACTTCCTTGCTTCCTTGCTTCCTTGCTTCCTTGCTTCCTTGCTTCCTTGCTTCCTTGCTTCCTTGCTTCCTTGCTTCCTTGCTTCCTTGCTTGCTTGCTTGCTTGCTTGCTTGCTTGCTTGCTTTCTTGTTTGTTTGTTTGCGTGCTTGCTTGTTTGTCTGTTTGTTTGTGTGTGCCTACCTCAGTGTACATGTGCATGTATGCGTATGCGTATGCGTATGCGTATGCGTATGCGTATGCGTGTGGGTGTGCGTGCGCGTGTGCGGTGCGTGTGCGTGTGCGTGTGCGTGTGCGTGTGCGTGCGGTGCGCGCGTGCGCGTTGCGCGCTGCGCGTTGGGTGGGTGGGTGGGTGGGTGGTGGGTGGTGGGTGGGCGGGTGGGCGGGTGTGAGTGTGGGTGTGGGTGTGGGTGTGGGTTTGTGGGTGTGTGTGTGTGTGCGTGTGTGTGGGTGTGTGTGTGCTGTGCGCGTGCGCGTGCGCGTGCGCGTGCGCGTGCGTGGGTGGGTGGGTGGGCGGGTGGGCGGGTGGGCGGGTGTGGGTGTGGGGGTGTGGGGGTGTGGGTGTGTGGGTGTGTGGGTGTGTGGGTGTGTGGGTGTGAGGGTTATGGGTGTGTGTGTGTGTGTGTGGGTGTGGGTGTGTGTGTGTGTGCAAGTGTGCTTGTAACTGTGCGTGCGTACTTGTGTGTAAGAGAAGGTGAGTTTGTAAGTGTGTATGTGTGTTTAGGTGTGTATGTGTGCGTGGTGAAAGTGTGCGGATGTGCAAGCGTTCGCGTGTGAGTGTATGTTTGTGCATGTGCATGCGTAGTCATTAAGTGTAGGTGTGTGAGTGGGTGTATGTGTCTAAGCGTAAGTGTGTCGGTGTACGTAAGATGTGGGTGTATTGTGTGTGTGTGTGTACGTGCGTGCGCTCGTGCGTGGGTGTGTGTGTGTGTGTTTGCATTTAATTGGGTAACTGCAAGTGTAAGCTTGAGTGCTTCATGCAATACTCCAGTGGAATCAAGTGGCAGAATTTGACTCCGACTACGCAATGCGCCTCTTTCAGCACCTTGTCAATGTTGCTCACCCAAAAGAGCACGCAGGCGGAAATCAGGCCAGCAACAGTACAAGTGGTCGTCCTCCCACTTGTTTTTGCTCCCCGGGTCCCCGAGTCTTTTCAGAGCCTCTGCCAGGCATGATCAACACAGCAGTTGCCTCGCTTCGTTGTTGCCGCACAGATTGCAGCGTCTCAAAACACGGACTCTTTCGATTTCGATGGTTGTTTTCTCAAACATCAAAAACTTGGCACCATGCGGTTACCGCTTTTAGGGGCGCTCCAGGTTTTGGCCATCTGGATCTGAGCGGCGCGCCCATTGGCGAGGAATACCTGGCGCACCTCTGCCAGCAGCTGCGCCGCACCGCTGAGGTCCTCCAAAGAACTTTCCGCTGACTTGGCAGCGGGAAGTACTTCTCAAAGGAAGGTTGTGGGTCAAAAATGGGTACCCAAAAGGCCCAGAAAGGAACCCTGGATAATGGAACCAAGGACTAAAATCTGTGGTCCCCTGGTGGTCTATTTTTGACCCATAGCCGGAAGGAAAGAGGGGTCTAAAAAACAAAGGGAACCAACCAAGAAGAAGCAACGGCTGTGGGACTGTGGGTCAAAAACTGGAGGTAACCCCAAATGGAACCCTTTTTTAAAAGGGAACTAAGGACTACAAATCTGCGGCGCGGCTTAATATTATTGCCCAGCTCAAGCCATCGCTTCCGAGGGCCGGCGCCTGCTGCAGGAAGCCCTCGCTGCGGGGCGCCTTGAGCTGGGCGCAGTAGCGGCTCAGCAGCTGCAGCCGCGCATCCGAGCTGCAAGCGAACGGCTCGGGGGCCCGGCGGACGTCGAAACTAGGCGGGGGTTCATGTCCAACTGCCTGGGAGGCTGGCTACTTAAATTCATACCCAAATGGAGGGACAGAGGGGGCGACCGTGCCAGGAAAGCAGAGAGAGAGAGAGAGAGAGAGAGAGCGAGATGTGAGTCTCAGGTTTTGCAGCAGCGAGGGTAGAACTTTCAGAGTTGACATGACATGAGATAGTCAAAACCCCTTATATGGCCCATGGTCATGATTCCCTAAATTGGAACCGTCATAACTCGTAACGGGCACTTGAGGATCCTTACTACCAGGTGGATGACCATCCCTGTTAACCAGAGCTATCCCCAAGAAAAGGAAAAGGTCGTTTGATCATGGCGCATTAGTTGTTCTAGTCAGGTGAACCCATAGGCTACATCCGATTCCAGGCAGCTTCGAAGCAACCCCCACCAGCTTTCATATGCCCGTGAAGATTGAGACTGCCAAAGAGGTGTTCTGGATAATTTGCGACAAGGCCCTAAAAAGATTCTCAACGTGTACAGGTGTATATAGAGGCTTTATCTCATTGTGCCTTTTCCAGTAGAGCGACTGGCCAAAAGAACAGAACCGGTTTGAGAGGAGAGGCAGAGACAAATGTGGGCTGTGTTCAGCACATTGCTTCCTACGGGAAGTCTCTGCCAAACGAGTGCTTCATTGATTGAAGTCATGACAAATCCGTCCCAGTCAGTGCAAAGGTTCCTGGCTCAGCGCCCCGCTCTGGATGCCGTACACTCGACAATGATATGTGGAAACCCGCCAATGATCACCAGATTCCCAGCTGCAAAATAAGTAAGGATCCTCTCCTAGCCTTTCATGGACCCCAAAAGCACGCGAAGAAGAAGAGAGACTGCATTAAGTATGTATCATCCTCCTTAATTGAACAGCACAGTATGTCCATAAAGGGAAGACAATTTCCAAAAGGAACTATGCAACCACACCCGAACTCGAGAACAAAAAAGGAAGTGCTGAAAATAAAATAAAATAAACACCTTTGGTACCAAGGCATTCCCCAGCAGGCGTTCTTGACACACTCGCAGAGCACCCATCGCAGTGTTCGGCGTTACAGCAAAGTTCAGAATCGTCGAGGCCACGGCCCAAGCGGCTGCAGGGCAGAAGCGCGCTGCAGGTCTTCGTACCTGCGCGGCCGAGCTGCAGCTTGGTGCTTCTGGTCGCGGGGGCGGATTTGCGGTCATCTTTGCCTGAGCCAAAGTCAGATTGCAAGTAAATCAAATGGTGTTCCTGAAGAGTATGGGCGAAGCTGGCCCAAGCACAGTCTTCATACACGAGATGCTGCCTTCTCTGGACGAAAAGGAATGTGGCTGTGGGTCAAAAATAGGGTAAGCCCAAAATGGAACCCTGGCAAATGGAAACATGGACTAAAACCTGCGGTCCCCTGGTTGTTTAATTTTGACCCATACCCATAGGCGGGGACTGTACCTTCCGGCCCAAAGGTCACGCGCCGTCGATGTCGAACATCCGCAGCCTGGCAGGCTGAGAGGCGAAAGCAAAGACAAACCATCCAGTGATCATCCACTCGTCTCAAGCCTTTCTTCTTGTGGCAGAAGGTGACGCACGGAGCAGCACAAAGAACCGGCTGAAATGGTGTGAGGACCTCTGCTTATCTGTCTTGCACGCAAGGTGGTGTTTTTTGTGTGTGTGGTCATCTTTCATCTAGTCAACCCATTTAAATCATCATCTTTTAGCCAAGCATCCAAGAACAGGGGACAGGGGGCAAGTCCCAACCAGAAGGCGAGAGGGGGCTATTGACAAATTGTACAAACGGCGAATGTCTCAGCCCGCCTCAGAACCGCGCTGTTTACCAGTGCCGAGGACAAATTGCTTTGGTCCTGACGCGGAGTCTGTTCTTCAAGCTGACAGCCACAACTCTTGACGCACTGGTGCACCTCTGATACAGAAGGACAATGTCATCTCCTCCGGAAACTGTACTTTCTACTTCTTGCAAGAAGCTGGTCATTTTGTCTAGGACAAGACAGCCTGATGCACAAGTCAGCTGAAGTGCAAGCCACGCACCCAGCCAAACCAAGCAAGCCGCATCACTGCAAAAGCCATCCCGCAGGCACAACCCCGCAAAAATATATTTCAGTCAGCTCAGACTTCAACAAGCAATCAGCTGATCTAGGCCATAACTCCGTACGGAACCCAGAGTGCAACCTTCCCTAAAACAAATGCAAGCCACCCCCAACCTCTGCACAAGGAGAGTCGAAACTCCCTGCTTGCTTGTCCTTAGGAGGCTCTTGAAAGTATTTGGCCTCTGGGGGCGATCTTGTTTCACAGTGCTCGTAGCTGTGGCTGGAAGTTGCACGGGGAGAGAAACCGAATCCAACACGGCAACAAAGCGTGATAGTTAAACACAAAGAAACAGATTCCGATGGCAAACCCCGGATGGCAAACCCGCTTGGCTTGGCTTCTTGTTTGAAGGCAGACCAAAGGAAGTAGTCCCCCAAACAGTGGACTCGGTGGACCCACTTTATTTTGCAGTTTCGGATGGACACAACAACCCACTTCAGGGGCCATTAAACAAAAAAAAAAACATGTGAGCAGCTCCTAAACCCATTTGCTAAAATGCCTTAGATTTACCCTCAAACAACCAGGTTTTCAGAACCTAGAATGGCCCAAAGGGAACCACGTCTGGGGCTTCAAAGCATGCCCCAAAAGGAACACCCTACTTGTGGGTATGTTGAGACACACCCGTGGTATGTGGAAATTGATTGGATCCCTTACCATGGGTCCAATCCGATGCCGCGGCTGCGCCGCGCCTGGCCCCTTGAGAGCTGCTGCACCTCCCAGCTACACCGCGCCAGCTCGGCCTCGAAACCGCGCCAGCTCGGGCATGGGCGTGTCTTTTTCGGGGACCCCCCAAAAAAGAAGTTGGTTTTTGAAAGCCTTTCGTTTCTGTTGGTTTGTCCTTTTTGGCTACCAAAAAAAGGTACCCTCCAAAAACAGACATGCAGACATGAGTGAGCCCCCCCTAGTGTGTAACAAATTCCCTGCCAAACTAACCGTAGACTGCACTATTTGACCAAAGTACTCATATGGGTCTTTCTCGAAATAAAGGGCTCCTTCAGGTGGTTTCCTTGAGGTTGCTCAAAACGGGGTCTCCTATTTGGAGACAAACACAAATTCCAGTAAAAGAGAAGGAGCAGCGTCTACCGCCTCAAACAAACATCCCGATCAAGTTGTAGCTATCCATTAGAACATGTCTTGAATAAACAAAGCCAACTGGAACCAGTAGTTCCAACTGACATGCGTCCACACTCAAATGGAGCCAAATGGAATTTAACCTGATAATTGGCGCTTGTGCGCTAAGGGACATGCCCTTGAATATATAAACAATTTGCCCCCTCTCTTCAGACCTGCAGGAGTCAAAATACAACTTGGGTTTGTTGACAGATTTCATCTTATACTGTCCTTCTGACACGGTTTGACTTCAACGAAGGCCGGGTCACCAATGCATGGATCTGCTTTAACAAATGCAGGTGAAGCGGTCACTAGAACACTCAAACAAGGGTTGATTACAACGGCTTCGCGGCCCGTGGATGAAGAAAAATGAAGAAACCATGATTAAACGAAAGGGCAGCTTCGGCGCATGGTCTTATCTTGGTTGTTTGAATTCATTCACGGTCACGCTTCTGAGCTTCACGATGGGAACAGCAATTCACGTGTCATTACAAACTATGCTCGAACGCTCGCTTACTTACACACGTCGTTTACAACTCATGAGCCATCGTTTACCACTCATGAGCAATTGTTACAGGGGGTCGCGTTAAGTCACATCAACACGCGCGAAGTCAAATCACCGCACTGCCACATGTGTACGCGCAAAGTCACGTCAGCAGAGTGAAGTCACAGCATTCATCGTGGTTTTCATGGCAATCATACTGGCCACGTGCTTCGCGAGGCAACGTGCACGAGCAAATAAGCAAATGCATGTTCAAGTGAAGCTCAAAAGACTGGGAAAGTCACTCCTTCACTGAACCGCAAACATCCCAAACAATAGCCGAGTCAATAAAGCACTGAACAACCTCATCCAATCAACGGAAAGTTGACTCTCAACCCAAGCAAAACAAGAAGCCTAAACACGCCTGCTTTACACCCTCACCCTTTGCTAATATCCCTTGACAAACAAACAAGGTGGATATAGGTGGATATACTGCTTGAAACATGTTGCAAACAACACAACCTGTGTGAGAACCAATTCTCAAACACCACCTTCCAGCATTGCCTCCCCATCTGAGTGACGCACTTCGATCACCTCACAGCGAGCAGAAGGCACATCACCGGCAAAGCAAGACGAAAAGGAGGTCAAGCCAGTCGGGAGAAAGCCGCATCACAACAGCTGATGTGCCATGGCATATGTACTGGAATGTCCATTCCAATCCCAATTTAGCGAAACTCCAAGTGCACAGAAGATCTATTCGAATTCTATGCCAAGGTGATGCGACTTAACGCGCGGAGGAGTATGTGACCTGGTCACCATGCCCAGAAGCCTCTTGCCAAATGACCGGACCATGTTTGGAGACCATTGCGCGCAAATGATCCGCCAGGGCGCTGCCCGCGTCACTGCCCCGTGCGCGCGCACCACCACATCGTCACAGCGGTGCCGCGGCGCGGTGGTGGTCTCTGCGGGGTCTCCGAAGGGAGCAGCCTGTCCACATGAGGTCAAAGTTACGTCTTCCCCTTACAGGACATGGGAATTGGTGACTCCTCAGATTTCCGCGGGGAAACTTAGCGGGCCCGTGTTCCTCCCACATGGTGCACCTTCGACTACTGGTCATTTTGACCGATCCTCGCATGAGCCACACACTGCTGGCCACATGGGCAACACACAAGTGCCTCGTAAATGTTTCTGTTTTTAGTGCAGGATGCGGATGAGGACTGTCTCCAAAGTGACAACATGATCACCTAGGCTGCTGGTGATCTGCCCCAGCCTTGAGGCGTTCCTTGAGCTCTTGCCTTAGCCGTGCCATTCCTGGAAACCTGACTCCGCTGACTCTCAGCTCTCCAAGGGGCTTGTGACCGAATGCAAACCGGGCCCAGAGGCTTTGACTCGTCTTTCTATGCTTCCGGGTCACCTGTCAAGTTAAACCCAATACTATGTGGGGTCTCTTGCCGGGATATTTTTGCTACCGCATGCAACTTCACCTTGTACAAACTGAGACGAGGATGCGTGTAGATTGTGAAACACAAAAGACTTTGTGTCTCTGTCTTTGACTTGGCGTCAGGCACTCTGTTCGAGAAACCCGATGCGCTACTAAGGGGAGCAGCGAACACGGGCACGGCGAGACGGCGAGCGCTGATGTTCTCAGCCTCCCCTGTGCCGTGAGTTTTCATTGCTCCTACAGCGACGAAAAGAATTGTGTGGTTCGTAAGGCTGATGTTCTCAGCCTCACTACCAAATGCACCTTGCGCTTCCAAGCTCCCAACATGGTTAACACCAGTCTGGAGACAAGGATTCAAGGTATTGTGTGAAGCATCTGGAACTTTGCTGAGTGCCCAAGACTCAGTCACTCTGTGGCAAAAGGCCTTGTAAACTTGCCAACTCCTAGGTCCAGTCTACCTCCAAAAAGTCAACAAAAACTTTGGACCTGTACGGATCGAAAAGCGGTGAGTGCAGTGAATTGCAGTGAATCGCAATGAACTGCCATGGATTGAATTGATGCGAGGTGCCTTGACTTGCGGCCACTAAGCTGTGAAAATGTGCCATGCTCGGTTCGAGCGTGCCCAACAGCGAATCGCGGCTCACATCTCACGGCACCGAGTCGGAGCTGGTAGCCACGCTGCATGATCGCCGATTGGAGGAGGGCGAAGGGCTGGTGCACTTGGTGGAGTCGTCTTCACTGAGCTTGTATCCAAGGTGTGACCTGGCATAACTCGAAAGCAAGCAGATCGGCTCGTCAGCGCACTGCATGGCTGCGAGCAAGGGAAGTGCAGATTCCTGGGGCAGTTGAGACATCTGCACCTTGGCGCCAGCCCGGGCAATCGCGGCCCTGGATGCGGGGCGATCACGAGCCCAGAGGGCAAGGATCTGCGCGGCCTCTGCCGCCTTCTTGCTTGGAGATGTGGCCTCCTTCATGAGACCGGCGATCGACTCGGGCGACTCAGACTCGGGCGACTCGGGCGACTCCCAGTCAAAGTCTGAGTCTGAATCACCGTCTTCTCCGGCCAAAGCTCCTTGGAGGCGCCCCACAAACTTGTGGAACCTGATGCGGTCCTGCCCCAGCATGTCCCGAAAGACCAACACGGTCGCATCATCCTCTTTCAAGATCCTCACCGATATGTGAAGTACCACGAAGTCAATCATGACCAGGGCTTCTATGAGAGACTGAGTCTCACAAAGGGGAACGCTTGGCTGCCCTCTCAGGAACAGCTTGATCTCTTCAAACACTTGTGATGATGTTTTCGCGGATCGCCGCAGGACATCGCCGGGAGATGAAACCTGCGGTGCCATCGCACGAGTGACAATCTGGCCAACTCTCTTCACTTTGCAAAAGGCTTGAGCCTTGTTGGATCGATACGACACCCATGACTTCTCATTGAAGTACACCATCGATTGTCCCTTTCTTGCCTCCCGGACTCTCAGAGGGTCTCCCAAGACAATGAGTCTCAAGATCAGGTCATTACGATGAGGGGGTGTTCACGTGCGCAGACCCGTCTGTGCATTCAAGAGGCTCTTTGGCCACCAATTGAGAGAGCACGGACTGGTCGGTGAGTCCCACCATTGCCTGCGCCGCTTCCATACCAACTGCCTACCTCTCCAAGGTGTTGCCAGGGACCACAAGGAATGTTGGGTGGGTTGATTTAAAGAGAAACCAAAACAAAACCACCTTTTTTTTCTGGGGGGCGGGTTCCCCTATGTTGAGACCGACCCTGTTATAGTTCTGGTTGCCTAGTCACAGCACTCATGCTGAGGTGGCACATGTGAATCTTGAGTCATGCTGGCACGTGCGGCATCTCATTTGCCACGAGCTCACTTAATTTAACGTCAGCGTTCTCAAACTCGCAATATTGAAGTGGAGCCCACCTTGTCTGAATCTCTGATCAAATTAATCCATGTCGATGACGAAATCACAATTAGACCTTTGACCCCTTAACACAGCCTTGAAGCCTTGAAGCGTGAAGCGTCTTGGGATGAAATCACGTGTGATACTCGAATGCCACGTAGACAAATGTCTTTCCCGGCCAGTCCAAACCACATTGCGGCCCAATTGCCTGCCACTGCTCCCGCAAATCTGCGAAGTCCCTGCGAGGCATGTAGTGCTCTTGACACAGCCGCCAGCTCTTGCAGTATGCCCTATCCAACTCACAGACCTAGCACACATTGTACGCCGATTGGGGCACATGGAAGCTGTCGTTGGGATAGCTTGCAAAGTTGAACGCCTCTTGTGACTGACACGCGGCCAAGCACAGCATCCGAGCCCCCGTAGTGTCGCTTTGCAAACAGCAGCAACTGCTGTCGCATGACTTCAAAAAGCTGGAAAGGGGGGTTCCTATTCGGAGCACTTGGCAAGTCCCTTGCAAACACCTGAGCCCATCCTTTGAGTCACTGAGCCGGTCTTGTACATGAGTCACCCAAGAATTTCACGCCATGCCAGGTGGTGGCGCTCAACAAATGCTGAATGGACGTGAGGCATGATGGTCGTCTTGGCCGTTCTGCCTCTTCGATTTACTTGCATGTCAGGTCAGAAACCCGACCAGTGCAGAAACTATACATGTAAAGCTGGCAGCAACAAAAAACGAAAAGGAAAAACATGGATCACCGTCAAATCACGATATCTGCCCGTTGATCTTCTGAGCTTTCAAACGTAACGGAGTGACTCGATCAATCAGGTTGCTGTGTTCCATTCCAGGCCTCTCCGCTGCTTCTAGCTGAGCGATGGCTGCATCATCGCCTGCCTGCCTCAGGTGTGAAGCTGTCCCCACCGGGATCACAAGCTGCAATTCGAGTTCTGTGAGCAGCCATGGGGTATGTCCATTTGCTAATGGTCAATGCTTCGGCGAGTCAACTGTAAGCTTACCAAGCGCTGAAGCATCCTCCAGTAGACAGGCAGCCCCGTACCCCGCGAATCCCAACGCGGCACATCCTGCCTAGAGCTGTGCACCTGCACTCTGCCCACACTTGCCGTCTTCTTTCTGGTGTGGATTGAGCTCCTCTTATTGGCTTGCAACCACAAATGGCTGGATTCGATACAATACTTGCTAGCACAAAGGACCCATTATAAACGGCCGAGATTTGCCAACTTCCAAAAGGGGAGGGGCCAGCCATGACTCAAGCCCTTCTGTGAATGCCTCAGGCAACATGCGTCTCGATCCTTTCCCCAACAGAGTGTCTAGTTCCTTCCAATCACGAACTGCTCCCAACAAGGATGCTTGGCCTCTGCACTTCAAGCCTCTCAAACACGCCGCACATCGACTTAATGTGAACACCAGCCAGGCCGCAGGGATGCTCAAGAACCAGCGCTGCACCCTTTCCGCCGTGTGCAAATGATCCTGTCAGCCATTTTCGCCTCGCGGCCACGCCGCCGGAGGGTCAAAACCTCAGAGGCTCAATGCCTGAGACGAATCATAGAATTCCAGTGCACCATGCTGCCACCGCCGCACAACTGCGCCCAAACAAGCCAAAGAGTTTGATGCAACGGCACTTGTGCCAAGCTTTTTGTTAGAATCAAGGCATGACTGACTCGAAGCACTCGCCACTTTTCTGGTTATGGTCCGTGGCGTTCGGAGAAGGAGCTCTCACCTGAGAACGGGCTGGAGGCACTGACTCAACAAGCCAAACTCGTGACGGCGGAACCGGATCCAAAACCAACACCAGACCACCCAAACGGCGAAACAAAGGAGTGTCTGTTCTTTGACCCCCCGCACAAAGACATGAATAATGAAACTAAAGCTCAACAAAAACTGTGGCTTTCATTTGGGTTTCCCTTTAAACCAACCCCAAAAACGTTTTTTCTCCAAAAACGAGGAGCCGCCAGGCGGACCCCCCAGCACCTTCCTCCGAGGCGCGGGACACCGCGCCATAGCAGTTTTGGCCCGAGGGCACCGACCGGAGAGGGGAGGCGGACTCGATGGCCAGCAGCCTCGGGTTTCGTGGCGCCGCGTGCCGCGTTTGGTGGCCAAACCTTTTACGTAAAACATACCCTCCAGGCGAGTTCACAGAAGCTCCCAGGACCCCTTGGCAAGACTTGGTTCCATTTACAGAGGCCTTCTAAGAGCTGCCATGGTAGTCTGAGTATCTAAAGAACTTGGATTCAGCACCCGGGAAAATGGCCATGTCTTCCCTTTTTGCCTTTTTGGAGATTGACGTCATGTGCGACCCGATGGACACTGCTCTGAGACGAAGTTCAATGCTCACACCTCAATTGATCACCCTCGGCTTTTTGGCATTGCTCACGGGCCCCCCACGTCTCCACTGACGTCGTGAGGATGATGTTGCCTCGATGGCACGCCTCCCGGTTTTCACAGGGCTTGCACGAAAAGGGCAGGAAGGTCCCGATCTCCAGGCACTAACCAGAGCTACTCTGCATTGAAACTTAGGGACCCGATTTCACCCACATTGATAGGGCCATCTCTTTTTTTTCGGGGAACCCGGTCTTCGGACTCCATGGTTCCTTTGCCAAAGGTACGTGGGGATTGTTCTAAATTCCTTCGTCTCGAAGCGGGCATTCTTCGCGAAAGGAAGCAACTTCCGCGAATCTTTCGCGAATTCATCGCCGCGCACTTCTAATTGCATGCACTTCTCGCGTAAGTCGCAACATGTTTCAGCAAGTCAGCCAAACAAAGTCTCCAGGCAACGAACCCAAATGAGCAGAGGGTGACCCAAAACCAAGCTGCCTTCGGGCTCAGAACACAAGATGGTTATCCAAGTAGAGCCACCTATCAAAGCGGCTAATTGGGGATCCGGCGATGCTCGGATGATCTGGACATATGACCGGGAAAACACAAGCGCCTTGTGGCGCGGAGACAAGATCCGAGCAACGCAAAAGCGTAGAAAGCGAAGGTCAACACTGGTCAGCTTTGGGGAAAGGAGTGTTGGCTGTGACGCAGAATTGGACGGGAAATCCGCCCCATTTACCAGAAGGCCCTTCACCCACCAAGCTAGGTATTGAAAGCGAAGCCGCACAAGGCCGACACGGTGCCAACGCAAAGGCAAATGTAGCATTGACCCGGGCACACCGACTGCACACCGGAGCCGCTTTCGCGCTGGATTTCGCGGATTCGCGAAACTTTCCCGAACCATATGCACGTTGCAGAGCGCGGAGGTACTGACCAAAGCACGCTTGGAGCACTAAACCGCCAAGCAGGGTATCAAACTGAATTCCTCACCAGGCGTCAGTCCCTGAACCAGCAAACTGCAAAATCAACCGAGCGAGTGTTTCAGCTACCATAGAAGGAAGGCTCTAAAGATACGTACAGCAACAGTTACACAACACTCTTGCGGAAAAGAAAAAACAAACAAGAGTTACTTTCGCAACTCCGTGGCGAATCTTTCGCAAGACGATCCGAGGACCTTTAGAAAACTCAATATGGAAAGACGTCATGGCTTGCGGCATGGCCAAATGACTCCAGATGTGTTGACCAGTCAATACGTGCGCATCAACTCGGGCCAGTGCGATTGCCTTCCATCTGCCGTGTTTCCCGGCCTCGATGCAACTGGAAAATCCAAGAATGTCCTCGAACTCGTTGGACGTGCGACCAATGATCTTTGACCTGAAATGGCAATATGGAGGGTGTCTTCTTCTGAGGGTACCCCTTGTTTGTGGCTTTAAAGGGAAATCAAAAGGAACACCACCATTCTAGTGGATCAGCTAAAAAAATACACAGCCATACTACAATCAAGACAACAACTTTTGGGCAATGGCATGGAATGGCGGATGATGATTGCACAAGAAAAAAGCCGAGCCCAAGTTGGATGCATATTTGTTTTTCGCGGGCTTGGAAAGAAGACCGGGAATCGCTCAGCTGCAATAGCTGCATTCTTACTTGCATGTGTACTGGTGCCCCGCCATTCCAGTTCTTTGCGCGAAATGTCAAGAAGAACAAAGAACCATGATCAATCGATCAAATGGACTGTGGGTCCTCAAAAGAAAGCTGATATTTAGATGTACGCCAAGTCACAACTCCTCGGATGGAAAATTAACGATGCCACGGGCGATCTCATGTCCGCCATGGCAAATTCGCACGGCTTCATTGCGGAGAAACCTGCGATGGCTGGCTCCCCAAATTCAGCAACTGTCCAGGACTTTCAGGGGGCTGTGTGGTTGTTTCTCTACGTCTGTCTGCCGTCAATTCCCCAGTTCAGCTCGAGTGGATGGTAAACGCGGACGCATTTATTCATCTATACCATGTCCTCCACCCCTGGTCAAATCAACCTCCTGAAGGAAATGGCCATTGCCTTGAATCAAAGAGATCAATCATCTTGACTTCCGATCTCTCTTCGTGACCTGACTGCTGTATCCGAAGGTCTCCATGGAGGAGCTAAAGCATCCAAGTAGCTGGCCCTGCACCTTCTGCACGCCCACCGGCAACAAGCTCTTCTTAGCACCCAGAGCCTCGCACGCCGCACTCAGTCCACTTGACATGCCAAGTACCGGAAAGAACAGGTGGCAAGCACATGCAACCTGTCATGTACATGTTTGGATTTGTGTATGAGCTCCGGACAAAGTACTTCCGGCAGACATGGAGAACATGAGTGGACTCCGTGGTCTCTCTGGGAAATCTGGGTGGGCCCCCCATGTCCTCCCCAAACAATCGATTTTGGTCAATTCCTCAAAGGTAGCTCTGACCTTTCGGCGCCGCACAGGCATCACAAACTGACAGTGAAAACCCAAATGTCAAATTCCTCTGCCCCTGGCTTCGTGTTTCCCAGCAGCGCCTTAGCCGCGCCATCATCCAAGGACAGCTCTCCGCTCACCGGCAGCGAAAGGATCCAGCGCCGCGTGTCGTGTACCGTCTGCGCTGTGTCCTTCGAGCAAGAGGAACGAGCCCACCAGATCCCAGATCAGATGAGACTGGACAGCTTTGCTTCACATCAACCATCAAAGCCCGTCACCGCAGCAAGGGCAAAGCACATGCTCTATTTGGATGTGTCTTCGATTCGTAGGGGACCCCCCCAAACATGGTAGGTTCAATTCTGGCTTCCCTTTAAAACAACCAAAAACAGACGGTTCCCTCCAACAAAACAATCGAGCCGCCCATTTCCCCGCGACGGGTTCCCTCACGGATCACGGATCGCCAAGGGGCCATCGCCATGAAGTAGGTGGCTTCCTCTGGGAGGCTCGCCTGGATCCAATCACCAGCTGACGGAAGAAGTCACACCCCCGTTGCTCCTAAACCCGTGGCAAAACTGCTATTAACTTAACTGGGAACTGGGCTAATCCTAAGCCTTGCACAAATCATGCTAACTTAACAAGGGAAAGAGACAACAGGCTATAACATCGCGCAAATACGAGCCCGGCAATTTTGATCCTATAGCAAACAATACTTGAGGATTCGAGTGACCCTGAGTCCAAAAAAGACTTCCCAAGTGCGGCCGTTGCCTGCCTCAAGTGCGTTGCTGGTGATGACTCCAATACGCAAAGCGCACTAATATGGGGGGAGGGGGGTTGATCAAAAGGTGCTTTACACGGGATGACCTTCAGGGAAAACCACTAAACAAATGATACTTCCCACTAAATAGGAACAGTTACACATGGTCATTTGGGCCAGGAATATTGATCAACCCCCATACACATTGTTTCTTTGCTGCATGTGCTGCATTCTGTTCGTCACCATTTAGAAGCCTGAATTGGTAGGTGGCTGAGACTTCTGCCGGCAAACAACCAATCAGTTGCGTGCGAAGCCGGCCTCTGGCTCTGGCACAAAGTCCAAGAGTGGCAGCAGCCGCCGTGGGAAGCTGCTGTTCAAGAGCACGCAAGGGATGCCTGCGCTCTGCCCCTGGAACAGCCCACACCAAACACGGCTAAGATGTGATCCAACCACGCATCAGTGTGATCGTGTTATCCTGCTGATCGATGACGGGGTGTTTGCCAAAGAAGTGCACTTACTGCAGTGTTGACAACAGCCACACAGCAACATGATCGGCGAGAATGCTTCAGGTCTAACCATACCACATCTTCATCCACCCAAAATCCCAGTGACATGCGCAACCCGTTCTCGTGCAACAATGAAGCAATGTCTTTGCTGCCTGCGTGTTATCCTCGTCCCTCCCCTCCTCCTCCTCTTCTGTGGCTTGAACAAGGCAAACAAGCAAAGAAAAAACTCCGAGGCATGTTGGATTTTGCCACTTGCTAATCAAACAGTTTCAGGGCTGAGTACTTGCCAATGTTGACCCCGGATTAATAAGCCCCTGTTTATTGATATGAGGGTGTTCCCCTCCAGAAGTGATGAATCCCCACCAAAACCAGGGACACTTTCACATTGATAAACAGGGGATTATTAATCCGGGGTCAACATTACGAGTCACTTGTCCCACACCAACATCCGACGTCTGAAGTGTGATCCATGCATTGCTTGGCACACATGAGTAGTGAGTAGAAGGCGGACATCAGCGCAACACTTTGAGCCTAAGCAAAAATGGTTTGTCTGCCCATCCATGGTTGCGAGGATTGCCCAATGCCTGCTAAGATGACATGGAATGAACGTTGCAAGCAGAAGCGACGCTCCAAAAAACGACAGGGGGTGCGCGAACCAAGCAACAACGAACCTCCCAAGCGCATCAAGTCCGAATGCAGGAGATCACGCGCCTGACACGCATGCAGTGCGGGCGGCCAGGATCTTGGTGGACATGCCCCCGGTTCCGAGGCCGCTTCCAGCATCTTTGGTCTCCACGCTAAGGGCCTGCATGACTCTCTGTTAGTTCAAGCTTGGACCAAAGACAATTCGTTTTAAAAAAATGGAGTCCAAAAGCCAAAAACACCAGCTTGGACTAAGGGCCTGCAAGAAAACTTGGACTAAAGACAAGACCAAACTTGGCCAAACAAAACAAAACCGGGGAAATTCACAATGCCGCTGAGCATCCCAGGGCTCCGGAACCACATAGAGCGGTTTGGCGTCGGGGTTGGTGCGGGGATTTGCGGTGTAAACGCAGGAGACGTCCGTCAGAAGACCTGGACTCAGCGAATGATCCCCAAGTCGAGGCAGTCAGAAGAGAATTCGGAGCAACTTTGGAGCAGTCGAACTTGGAGACAGGTCCTTCCTGCTTAATGGTAAGAGGAAAACAAGAGCTTTGGCTGGCCAGCAATGATGCAACAATGCTTTAACATGGAGGCCTCTAAAGGGTGTTCCGGCTCCATCTCCGCAAACTGCCGGATTCAGGTCTTGGAAGGCATGAAGCTAATCTTCTGCTTTCAACGGGTATAGTGCAAGTGCTGCGTCCTATGTCAAGTTTGCATGGAATCCCAAAGCTAAGGCACCAAAACACAGGTCTCAGCAATTGAAGACATGAAGACACGTGTACCATGCAACTGGTGGCTTCTCGTTGTGAAAAAGGCATTGCTTTTTGGAGACCCGCAATATGACAACACCCATCCTCCTTGAAATCGCGGGAACATCTGAGAACAGGCCGAGAATCAGAGCGCGTCAGCTTCCAGCTGAACCGCAGTCAGCGCAGCCAGGTTGTCCTCAGTTGCTCGGCCCAGCTTGCGGGGCATGACCGGAAACAAAGGGAAACAAAAGAACAAGAAGGGAAATGAGGGGAGACATGGAGGGGCATGAATGGGAATGAAGGGACATGAAATGAGAGATGAAGGAATGACGGGAGATTCAGCGGTGTGTCGTAAAATAGGGGACCCCCAAAATACTGGGTTCCCGTTGGTTTTCCTGACTAAAGAAAAACAGCCTCAGCGTTCCCGGATGACAAATCCTGGAGTGCAAGGTGAGAGGAGCTACAAGCATCTGCCACGGATGAACAATTGCTGACCTCCAAGATTCAAAGCCAATGGTGTGGGCCCGGGCAAACCCATGTTAAACAAGTTCCAAACACGCATGAACAGCCCAAATCTGTCAACATCTGAACATGCCGAAACATCGCCCGCCTCAGGCCAAACGCAAACTGCTCAGCACCCCTGGGCGGTTGTTCTATCTTCACTACGAAACCTCAATGCTGCCTATTGCTGCCGAGACCGGCCTTCCCCCGTCTCTCCGAAACGGGGCACGTTGTCCCCGAAGCGGAGCTCCGCAGTGTTTGTGGAGTCGTTCTCGTTGATGATGGGCACCACCCCGAGGCGGAGGCATTCCATGATGGTGCCCTTCCTGGGTCAGTGGGAGGCAAGCAACAGATCCACCTGGCGTTGCTGCCTCAAGTGAAACCATCGGGCCAAAGACTACAGCGAAATCTACACAGCTCATTAGAGCTCATTAGAGCTGCGGGGGGAGCCTGCGGGGCTTTGATCAAGGTGACCACAAATGCAACCTTGAATTGAACCCTGAGTTAGAATGACCAAGGATGACCAAGGGAAACAAACGCAAGGTTTCATGTGTCAAATCACGGCATAGTCTCCCTCCCGAATGCCTGAAGCAAAGTGGCACATTGCTCCAGTGCTCCTTCTGGGCAAAATCCGACTGGCTCAGCAGCAGCTGTGCAACCTTCACACGGATTGTGCCAAACAGGTCCTCGCGCGTGCGGGCAACAAAGTGGAAAGGTATATAGAGACGCTGCCGGAAAAAGGAACTGCCAGAGCCGAACGGTGCTTTTGTTGGCATTGGAATCGACCTTTAACAGCCTGGAAACTTGAACGCAAGTTTGCTACGTGTGATTCCAATGCTGGTTCCCCGACGCGATGACATGAAGTTGAATGGCCTTGCATTCAAGCCGAGCCGAGGACAAAAGAGTGCGTGTGCGTGTGGATGCAGATGTCGAGGGCTGCTGTGTGGCTGTGGCTGTGTGAACTGATGCTTTCTCCGTTTGTCCGATTGAACACTCCGCTCCCAAGGTCTCAAGGCCCGCTATGGCGATCCGGCAATCCCCTCCTAGATGGTCAGACCATCTTGCAAGCAGGGCAATGCCGATGGAGGGGACTTGCGCGCAAAATGAAGCTGACGCGGTCGCCTACTTTGGATTTGGCAAGTGCGTATCGCTGGTGGTAGTGCAAGAGTTTGAGCGAAACGCAGAACTTTCATTTCAACGAGTCGTCCTGTGCCTGTTTTGCTGAATCATAAATTGCATGGGTGAACTGAGATCTGACCAGGCTGTTTGTGTAAAGCATGGAGCCCAGGGTGGTGTCAATTCAACTAAGTGGTGGGGTTCCTTTGAAGGAGTTTGGGGCTGTTTGTTCAGTTGCTGCATGAGATTCAGCGGGCCAACATAAACGAACTTAGACATGGGTCAATCAGTGAGTCTTGTAGAAACAAAATCGGAAGTCCCCTCACGTTTCTCCCAAACGGCTTGCCACGGCTCCTCGTACACGCGCATGAGCTGGCTTTGGCCAGCGGCTGCCACCGCCTGCTTGGTGCGTAGGTCCGTAGGCTTGGGGATTCCCAGCTTGATGCACCCCATGCCAACTGCGCCTGGCCAGCGTTCTTTGCGGCGAACTCACCTTTTCTGGGGCGGGTTCAAGGGAACAGACACACACACACACCGATACCTGGCGGCTCCAACTCATTTCACGCTTGTTGGTCTGTGGCCAAGGGCTCCAATGTGAAGCAGGTGGAGGCAAAAGGCTGCGCTGCTTGTATCTTCCTACGTGACATGCTGCGCCTGATGACACAAACACCACCTGGTAGTCCTTCTTCCGAAGCTCATCAATGACCTGTCATGTTTCGCGGGAAATCAATCGATCAGAATCAAGGGACCGAGGTAACGACGCGCAAGTCATCTGAATACTCCATGAGGTTTCCCTATGCCCTTCCTGTTCCCTATTCCCTTAGTTTCTCTCATTCACCCCAACACCCCGTCACCCCATCACCCTATTCTCATCGAAGCCTCCACCAGTTGAGACACCAGTGCCAGCCGCAAACGCTGGCCGTGATCGTCCTTGGGGTGGCTCAAGCTGGTGAATGCTGGTGGGACAGGAACACCGTTGAGTTAACCTGAACTGAATGGGGTCTACCAAAAACCATGTAAACACGAATCAAAGGGTGGCCGCACTCATCTATCGATAAGGAATAAGGACTGTCTCTGACTAAGCTTCGCTCATCCGAGTTTGATGGTGGCGCATTTTGCATAGCAAGTTGTTCTGTAAGTTGTTCTCTCTGAGCTTGCCGCCGACGTCATGAGGCTAGATGTTCCCACCTGCAAGGCACAACACTTGGAGCGCTACCGGAGCCGGCAAACACACCAAAGCAGCAGATTCCGATGGTCAGGATGGCTAGGCGTTTTTTGGCGTTGGCACTGATAGGTTCGGCACAGCTGGCCTCGGACAACAAGAAGGTTCAATAATGTTCACATTCAGTGAGAGGTGTGCGTAAAGCTGTGTGGACCTGTCAAGTCTCTGAAGAAGGCAGCATTTCTCATGCATGCGACAGGCAAACTATGTCCTGGTAGATGTCTTTTTTTTCAGAAACAGTACCATTCGAGCTGCGAGGCGTTGAGTTGCCTTGCTGAACGACTTGCTTCGAGAGTGCCTTCCAGCTTCAAACTAACCCTGGCAAGTATACGCATACGCATGAAGGGTGATAGTTGCACAGCCTCCGCAGTTTCAGTAAACCATCTGAAACAAAATCTAAAGCAAATGTTGGAGTTGACGACCGAATCCCGCACCAGCCCCACCCAAGACGTGAAGGGGATCCTGTGAATTGCCAGTGCTACTAAGTAGGATATCCTAATGCCAAATGCCGGATACCATTGGCATGCTTAGCCACCATCCCGTTGCACAACACCCCGCTGTGCCTTGATAACGATTAAAGGCCGACTGTGGCTCGAGGTGCGGCGGGAGATGCTGCAAAATCGGTTCGACATGGCGAGCCGGGCGCCGCGCCCCCGTCTTTGGGAGGCGGATAGGCAAGCAATTTGTCCAGCCGTCAGGCCCGCAAGTCTCGCTTGGAATTGCTCGAATGGCGAGGGAAACATCCTGATATCCTGATACCGGGGTCAATGATGCAAAATGGCCATCTCCGTTGGGTTCACGTGTTTGAGCGCATGATTGGCATGCCACATCATGGGCTCAAATCCAGGCCAGCCTGAGCCAAAGTACGGAGTCGAGATGCCCATCAGTCTCAGCTCTTTTCTCTAAGTTTCGCCATCTCTGGATCACATTCGATTGCGAAGCACTCAGCCAATCTTTTGGGCTCCAAAAAGACTCATTTCCTACTGGATGCCTCCCGGAATTTTAGGCAAGGTTCCAGGCAATAGCTGGCTTCAGCCCGCAGATCTATCCTATCGGCTCCAGTGCCTTGCACGCTGCCTTGATACCGTGGACCGCTGACATGTGCTACGCACATCCTCTCAAGGCAATCGCTGAAAGAATCGCATGCAAGTGGAGTCCAACCCAGTTTTACAGCGCATCTCACTCTCTCTGAATTCTGTGGGTCTTAACGCATAAATTTTCTGGTTTGCCAAGTGCGACGCGGAGGTCACACCGGCCATGGTCCCAGCGCCAGGGAGACAGGCGCCTCACCATCAAGGTGATCGAGTTTCCGATTGCCAAGCGTGACATGGCTTGCAATGCTGGGGCTGCGCGACGTTGGGTGGGAGGAGGGGGTCGGACGGACCAATTTCGAAGTGGGAAGGGGTTGGGGATGGGGTTTTGGAGGATCCCGAAGAGGTTCTGAAGGGGTCTGGTCCTTGGGTCCTTGTAGTTTCCAGTGGCTCTCAGGATCCGTGCAGTTTTCAGTTACCCTCTCACTGCAAGGCAGGCCGCCCATCCCGCGCCTCTGGAAGTCAGCCTCGCGCCCGAGTGGAGCGCTCGGGCGCCTGATGGCGAGGACCAACTGGGCTGAAAGAGAACACGAAATTGATATCGATCATCTGGATCCAACCAAAAGGGCAGATTGTTCCACACACTGCTTCCAAACTGGTGCAGAGTACCTACATGTACATGTTGGACATGTTGTAGCACTTTTCCTAGTTTCATTCACAGAAACAGAACATGTTGCAAGGCCAGAGCAAGTGGCAAAGCCCAGTTTAGCGACAGCTGCAATCCTTCTTTTGACGTCTAGGACTCAAATCCGCTGGGAATCGCTAAATGGTTTCGAAACCCAGGATGGTGTAACCTCGGGCGCGCAACTCGCGCACCTTGGCCTCGGAAAGGTGGCTGTGGCGCCTGGCGCAGGGACACCCAATCGGCTGATTGGGTGCTTCGGACCGAGCCATCCTGGCGGCTTAGCCTCAAGCGCAACACCAACTGGACAGCCAGAAGATTTTGGCCAGAAGCCAGCGCCAAACCGAAAGGTTGCACGTGATGTGAGTGCTTCCGCTGCAAGGGGGAGGCGCCGGTTGCATTTGTCATTACTTGCCGTCTTCCCTTGGCAGGCAGGCAGGCAGGCAGGTAGACCAGGCTGCAACACAAACGACCTGAATGCTGCTTGTATGCGATTAAAACATCTGGCCCATTCTAGCAGTCAAAATAGTCGGAGTGAAGGCTCAGGTTGCCTAGCCGAATGAGTTCGCATCTTCAAGCTCCATAACATACGTAACGCTGCGAAAACTCCTAGTGTAGATCATTGTCCCGCTTCCCCTCATCAGAAACCCTCACAACGGTTTTTTCAAGGTCCCTGATCAGAAGCCTTAGTTACCCAGAGTTCCAAGACTGTGGCGGCACACGTGAAAAGCGTGGAGTTTGCAAACCAACACCATGTCAAAGGTAGAGACTCACAATCTTTCAATCTACAAATTGCAAGTGTCTCAAAAAGCGGAAAGACCGCCAGGTCTTTCCGTGCTTCAAGAGTCATGCAGTGCTTAGCCTTGAGGGCCAAAGGCCGCAGTGCCAGCGCCATGCGCCTCGCAAAAGATCCGGGAGCTTCGCCAAGCATATTGGTCCCCCCCAGACATGACACCCGATGCCATCCGGAGAACGCGTCACACATTACACATGCCCCATATTGAGGAGCCATCCCTCATCACTAGTCCTTTCCTGTCTGAGTCAGAAGCCCAGAGTCTATTGAGCTAACCTTGTTCTTTGGTCTTGCATGCGCAAGGGCTTTGCGAAGAGGCAAAGACCCCCAGCAGAACCACCCAAGCACACTGGCCTGTCAAGCAAAATATGGCAACCAACCCGCCCTTGGAGCCAAAAAACATGAGCTCGAAAGTACGAAGGGCCACCTTCTACTCAGAACTGCGCCTTGCGCATTACATCATTGAAATATTGGGCACCCTCTTCGAGGTGGTTTCCTGCCACAATCAAGCTACACTACAAAGATATGTCCCCTTCTCTGATCCCGGGTAAAAGTGCACGGATTTCCAGTGGCTCGTGTAGAAGTTTGGAACCACATGCAATGACGAGCTGGAGAGTCTTAGGCCGGCCCAACTTTGAGACTGGCTTGCAAAATACCGTCCTGTTTTTCCAGCAACCCTGCAGGTCATCTTCGGGGCTGTTCGCACGGGGCTGTTTTGAAGGAAAGCTCAATGGACGCCGCCCATTTCCGGGAGGGGGGGGGGTCATTTGGACACAAGCCCGTTTGCCGCTGGGTATCGAACCTTTGAGCACCGCTCCCTGGCCTGAACAGCGTCGTGCTGAGGCGAACTTTGCACCTCTTGGATGCCAAGAGGCGCCCGTTCCTCTGGTAGGAATGATGCCCGGGAACAGGCAGCGGCCATATAATTGCTTAGAGTTCTTTAGGGTGCTTGCAGCTGGTTGAATGCTGGCTCCCTTGTGAAGGTTCTCGTGGGTATCCTAGCTCTGGGGAACATGGCGACAGCCCATGTTGCTCAATCATCTAGAAGCTAAGAGCCAATATCAGCAAGCGCAAAATTACAGGTCGCGGGTCGGCTTGCCTAAGGCTAGCAAGATATCTATTCCCACGCAATCCCATTCATGCAAAGCAAAAGATACATTCTGATGACTGTGACATAGCGTGACGAATGCCTGCGCACGCCCGAAAAACACAACCTGACAAAAGAATCGTACCATCCCCAAATGATCTGAGAAGTGGTCAATGACATGTTATGGGTGTTGAAGGTATGGAGGTTCTTCAGCACTTCTAACTTGTATAAGAGGTAGCTAGTATACTGTGCTATGAGCTTGTTTGTGCGTTGTATGAGCATCCATACCTTCAAAAAACATGCCTGAAACTGCCCTTGAAGTATTGGCAAACAGCACTGACAGCATGTGATTAATCTGATTGATATGCTCATCTGCTATGCACTGCCTCTGTTGCAAAGCAACTCGTGGAAAGCGAGCAGGGCAAGTGGAGCAAACAGCCATCGCATCGGGCCCTGTGCTTCTCCAGTTGCACACCTTTGTTTCCTCCTCTGCGAACGGATGGTGCATTGGTCCTCTTCGCGGCCCAGCTCCCGTGGAACATGCGTCCACTGCCGAATGCCCATTCCACAGGCGGGCCACCGCTGGCTTGAAAACCACTGGCGCCATGTTGGCCACCGGGTCTTGACCTTTGCCAACCAAGGGTTCCACAGGCCTGTGGCCACACGCGGAAGATCAAAAAGACCCTGTGCCCAACCCAGCATGCCTCAAGGAGCCAGCATGTATGCAACAAAGGTCCATGTAACAGCATGGACCCTGCAACTGCCTACAACAGAAAGTCGCGGGCGAGTTGAGCTTGCCTGCTGTGATAGGGACGTTTGCTGCTTGAGAGTTCCAGAAAGGACAAGTCTTAAAAAACTCACACGGGATGCCAGTCTACAACCTTGAAGAATGGGTGGCTTGGGTTGGTAGCGTGGTGCTTCAAGTACACTCTCAGTAACAAGTATTCACGCATCTTGAATGGATGGCCTGCCAACATGCTTGCTACTCTTCTTGACAAGGTTGTCAACAATGACCGGGAAGCAACAAAGCAGGGCATCAGTCCGGGTCCTATGCTGGACCTATGGACCATGCATCACCAGCTGGGCCAATGTGCATTAAGCAAAAGCAGCAGCCCCCGCGGCTCTAATCCACAGCCGCATGACCAGCTTCTGATTGAGCCATTTTGGGGCCATGAAGCTAGAACAGCATGGAAACCCACACACAGGTAAATTGGTTCAGTTCGGACAGCATGCATCTGGTTTCAGTCAACAAAACGGGGTACATGCATGAGAATGGTCGCACTGGCAGAGCTATTCGTCACACACCGTCCATCCCTTTCCCTCAAAGTGCGCTTGGCGCGAAGTGCTTGCCCATTCGACGGCCGTGCTATTCGCCAAAAGCATGGGTGCCGGGACGACCGTTCGTGCCAGGGGTCTGCTGCTCATATTGTACGCGGGTATCAACTGAGCATAGATGCCACGTCTGCAGCCAATGTTATGCTGTGAGGGACAAGGGACCGACAAAATAAACAGTGACGGTGTCCATTCCCGGATTCTTGACAAAACAATTGTGACATGGAATGAGCACACCAGGTGGCCCGCTGCAGTTGTATTACCTGACATCTCTCGGCTTCAAGCCTATTTTCAGTGGACCAAATCGACTTGTGGGTGCAGGTGGCTTTGCTAAAGCATCAAAAGGCTACCAGACGGCCCTTCATCGCGAGCACGGCTCAAAGCGATCTCTAATCCTGCAGCCTAGCAATCAAATGGCTCCAGGACTGATATGCAGGTAAAGAAATGGTGCTCAAGTTCTCGGAAATCTTCAAACGGAACGACGTAACTCCCACAAGAACCTGCTCAAATCAAGCTTAGGCTGTGTGTGTGTGTGTGTCTCGTCAAAGCGGTTTGTCCCTGGGAAAGACTGCAGCTGTTCCTAGAAAGCCACAAGCAACAATAATCTTGGATAGTTCGATTCTTTGTCTACACTTTCACCCAATTCACGCGAAATGTCGTCTGTGTTCAACAGGTATTAAATCCGAACTCTGGTTGGACAAATCATATCAGCCCAAAGGGCATAAGCACGGTGTGATATTTCATCAATCCGAAGCACAGCTCTTACAACTCTGCAACAGAGAAGCCGTGCAGCCTCAATACGTTTTCGGCAGAATAGGCCAACTGACTCCATGCCAACCAGCCTCTCGTCATCTGCTGCTCAAGGCTGTTCGGCCCCTGGCGAGCTGGGAACTTGATACTAGCCACGATCAAATTAGGTTCAAGGAACGGCATCCAGTTGTACAAAAGCCCGATGGAATGCTTGACGGCTCATGGCGAGGCTACATCTCGCACAAGTACACTTTGCACATTGGAGATCGAAAGACGATGACGTGCTCCAAAGATTGCAACACTGCGCAATGCTTACCATCTTCTTGTCATTTTGAAGCTCAGACGTCTCTAGCTAAAGATCAACTTTCTGCAGCCTCGCGAGTGACATGTGCAGCTCTTCACATGATGACACGCTGATTGTACGAGACATGTGCAATGCTATCGGAAACAAACGCAAGTGTCCTGCAGCGTTTCGCAAGAACAGCTCAATTCCATACATGTCCAGAACTCATCGTGTAGCCCAGGAAACGGTAAATCGGCGTTAAAATGTAGTTGTGTTCCGCGGGAAAACAACGTGTCCAATCGCACCAATCTAATATTACAATATCTTCCCCCTATTCATACATCCCGCCCGATCCCACCCCTATTAATAAACATGTTGGAGAAACCCCCCCCCCTTGCCGGGCCAAACAACAGTCGGGATTGGTGAATTCAAACTTAAAAGGCAGAATTAGCACTACGATCTACAATCTGGTGTTACAATGTAAAGAAGAGAATTGCTGAAAGTACCCCGTAATACCAGCCGTCAAAAGTGTCAGAAGTGTAGTATGGGGTGGATATGTTAACAAAGGGAGCAGATTGGGGTAGTCAACAAGGGACAGTGTTTGCGGAGGAACAATCATACTCCAAGAAGTGCAGAATCCTCCTCCGATCACGCCTCCAACATGCCACCATGAATAATCAACAAGTACTCAAGCCATACTTTCAAGCTAAAGCTTCCTCCAACACTTCAGAATCATTGTGCGGCCAGACAAACAGATGTCCAAGGTCGCTTCACAGGGCAGCTTCAAGAATGTATGTATCAGAGTTTCAATAATAGACAGTTGAGAAAATACCATCACCCCGCTCCCCAGTTGTGTCGCGCAAACCACGACTCAACCCACAACAAACACCATTTCGTAATACCATAAGGCAATAGTAGGAAATTCTGCCAACATTGAGCCAATAAAGCAGCACTCAAAATATGTTGACAGTTGGTTCTGCCAAAGAGTGTGAGAAGGCTATATAGGCGAGCACAATCATTCAAGCCTAGTCAGGCCAGGGAGTCGCCACAATGAACAAGAAGGCCCACGGCGGGTTGGGTGCTGCTCCGTGCTGCAACATGCTACATTCAACCCGTAACCTGCTAGTTAAGCAGTACTCACTCAAGCAACAAAAAAAAACACAAAACAACACAAAAGAAACCTGACACCTGACCAAACAGATACTAACATCATACTGAATCGGCATAAATCAATGCACCAATAATTTCTGGCCTCGATCATGGCAAATGTGCTTCCCCCGTTTCTTCGTGATGCAAAGAGAATGACAACTAGTACTTGACCTATCTAAGTCCACAAGACCGGGCAGCGAGCAAGTCGTTGCCTGGAGGAAGTTCCGCCCATGGCAAACTTCTGCTTTGGCACCGCCTGAGGCAGCTCATGGCGCGCTGATATGCGGTGGATGTACCCACCTCCAAACCGTAGCAAATTGTGTGGTACGGGGCTCCCCCATGGCTTCCTTACTTGCAAGGTTGGGGGCAACCATCCGAAAGCAAGAGCCAATCTCCAATTTCTTGGCACTGGCTTGTGGCCAGGCGAGTCCGAGACTCGCTCAAGTGAGTGCTCTGACACCGCTGTTTCCAGCCGCCAAGCACATACTGCCGTGTCCAAGGGGCCAGGAGAGCCTTGAAATGCTGAGGCACATGCAGAAATGATATCCCCAAACCTACCTGCCTTGGGAGCGCCCGACTTCGGCGGGCTCGTTGGGCCCGACGGCTTCTGCACAGGAGAACAAATTTCAGCTCGCATGTACCGAAGGGGAGGGGCAAGGGGGCCTGAAAATGCCACACAAGCCACCCCAATGCAGTTCCTTTGGACCTTGCCACATGAAAACGAACAAAGCTCGACAAAACACCGAGAACTTACCAAGAAATGCTAGCACACACCACGGCTGCAGAACACACGACAAGGGGGGGTTTCCGGGAACTCAATGCCGTTTTGTCAAAGCAAGTTGGCCTCAGCGTTGGGTGATGCACTGTTCCCAGCAACGTGCACACGAACACTCTGCCAGCCAACACCCTGCCATGCACTTTGATGTTGTCCAGTATTCATGCTCCTGCATTGCACGTCTGTGTGTAGGTGTGCACATGAAAGTGCAAATGGGTTTTGGCGAAGTGACTTATGTGGCATTTACTGAGTTTAGAAAGCAATTGCTGGGCTTTGGCCTTGGTTTGAGGCTGCCAAGACTAAGATACCAAAAGTGCTTGAAGAAGGCGTGATGTTTGGTATTCAGGCTTCATGTTTTGCGGATTTAAGACAGTCTCAGAGCGTTGCTTGCCCCGAAGCCATCAAGTGCTTGCAGGAAGCAAATATGTCGAACAAAAACAACATGTAGGCTGTAAAAGGTCAAAGGTCTTTCAAGGAAGACTCGCACTTGCATGCGGTTCCCCAGAAGTTGGCACCCAAGTCAAAGGAGATCCCTCCCCTCGACTCCTTCGACTGATGCTATATGTACGTCGACGTCAACAATTCTGATCTTCATAAACATCCCCTGATTTGCACAAACGAACGCCTGTCTCCTGCCCCCATTGGTCAAAAGCTGAGCAGCTTTAGCTATACATCTCGAAACCAAACTGGCGCAACGCAGCTTGCGTCTACCGTGCTCCGCACGTCTTGCGGGCACGCCCGCAGTCTCAGCATGCAGCCTTCATTTGCTCGGCAGTATAAACGCGAGAGCAAGAGTGTGCCAGTTTGCGGGCGACGCTCACGTGTACGGTCAAATGTTATTGCGCCGCAGCACATTCACGAAATGTAGGCCAAGGCAAGGCAAAACGCAACGGCGTGTCAAGACGTCATGTATGTAAAAACTGGCAAGCCCCAGCGGGGCCCAAATACCCGGGGCCCAAATACGCCGACCATGGGGGCTGCCATAGAACAACTCACAACAAGCAACGGCAAATCCCAAAAGAGATGAGAACAGTTTTTTACCAACCATTCAAATTCATGGACCCAGCTGTTTTCTGAATCCTGATTTGCATAGCACGCCTGGTTCTTTGCCAGGGTCTGTGAGCGCGCCGGAATGCGCTTGGAAGGCCTTGGCCGTTTCCGAAGGCTCAACGGGGTGGGTTTGCCTGAACCGATTGGTGGCCCGCCTAAAGGCATGGTGGCGGTCAACTGAGCCATGTCCTAAACGTGTCATGATTTGCTACGTATCAGTTTGCCTATGCCACTGGCTGACGCCACTGTACGAGCGTGGAGTTGTTCCTTCCGCAGACCATGTGGAGGTTTTGTCCAGCCTACGCCACCTTACGCGCGGGGAGTTTTTGCCTTGCACAGGTCGATATGACACAACTCTTACCAAACATGTACACGGAGGTTTTGGACGCCGCTCATCTGAAGTACTTTCTCAGCAAATAGTTCGGCCCAATCCCTTTGTATTTGCCTTGGCAGTTGCCTGGTGTTAGGCAGCAAATTTCATACCCTACGCACCAAGATCGTGCTATGCCATGCTGGCTAGCCTGCATGCATTTGTCAATCTGCTGCCAACTTGAGTGCATGTCCTCATCTGCATGGCAAAAAATCGCAAATCTTCAGCCTATGGATCTGCTTCACAGTGTCGATTGCTCTCACCGCCCTTTTCGCCGCCATCAGGAGCGTCGGGCAGCCAATGCTGCAGCGCAGGCCAAGACAGGAAGCAACTTCTGACAAAGTGCTTATGAACAAGGTTCTCATCAAACTACGCAAGCTGGAATGATGTTGAGCCCTTGCCACGATGGCCAGCATGCCATTTGGCTTGCCCGAAGTCCAGGGAGGCAAATCGCAACTAAAGCGATTTGTCTCGTCAAGCTGATGCGTCTCTCTGAACCAAGAAAGATGGGTACAGTACGAAGCAACTATTCGTGTTCCTGTGGGTCGTGCTCGAATCGATTCCAAATGTGATTGTGGACCTAAGATATGCTGGTATTTGATTCAAATGATAGTTTCGCCCTTTTTGAGCGCCGTTGACCAAAAAGATGCGATACGAAACCTGCAAGTATGTGTGATGTGTGCACTTACATTCTCTAGCAACAATGGGATGCTCAATCTGTGTGTTGCAAGTTTGCTGAAACAAAACAAAGGCGGTTGTTCTTCACCGGATCTCACAACATGATGGGGCCTATGGCCCGAAAAAGCAAGCCATCCGCAGCGTGCCCAAGACCGGCCGACCCGGCTTTGGTCACGCCAAAGCAAGTTCCTAGCGTGTCAAGGGCGAGCGATCCATGGCCGGCCCCCCACAAACACTTGTCGCCATTTGGGATCAACGTTCTAGTGGCAGCTGATCTAAGCTCACCCATGAACATGGATGTAATGAGGGCGTCTACATGCGCTTGCAGCATAGCGCAAATCCAAAATCCTTCCGCTCAGCAATCATGGAAAAGGGCCACGGAATGTCAAAACACCAAGTGCCTTCTCCTGCAAGCAAATGATGCATCTAGCTCAGATGCTAGGTTGGCTTGGGGGTGTTGTGGGCAACAAATGCCCCGGCAGGTGTCTTCGAACACTGGTGTTGCAAGCCAAGCTTCTTCGGCAGCTGACGTCCTAAGCGCACATGTGAAACTAAAGAGTAAGCTCTGCATCAGTTGCAGGCTTGCGTTGTTGTTCGGCTCAGGATCACTCGCATGAACATGCGCGCAGCTATGGTACAAGTTTATTAAGTTTGAGCATAGACAAGAAAGGCGCAATCACCACGAGACCTACCTCTCAGGCTCAAACCACAGTTCGGATCACATAGGATAGGATCGATCCGTCCACAACAGCCACAGTCCAAGTCACGTGCGCAGAATCCCGCGCTCATCCCAGCTGATAAGGTCCTCCTCAGGGTGAAGGGATTGGTCGAGTGGAGTCTACAAATTTGTGACTTAACAAAAGAGTCCTGATTCGCAGACCCGACATGAGCCAATCAGCATGCTATGTTTCCGAGATGAGGTCTGTATATATCCTCTGGCAAGAATTCGAGAACCAAGCTACGAAAACGTGTGCGCTCCAATGAAGCGTCCGGTATGGGCAGCGAACAAACACTTGCTGATTTGGCAGCGTGATCAATTCGCTTGAGACGGCGCTACTAACCAGAGCACTATCAATGGAAGCACCTGCTGATGACAAAAGCCCTCTCAAACCAATCACGTGGTCCCCCAACATGCTGTCCAGACGAGCCGAGCTTTTGGCATCTTCTCACGGGCCTCTCTACATATTGCCATTTGACTAGATATGAAGCTCTCTTTTCCAACCCAGCTCCAAGCAGGAAGCACCAATCCTGAAAGCTTCACATTGTCTACAACTTGACATTTGCCCACCAGCAAATGTCACTAAGCAATCAGCAGGAATCATCCGAAATGTTTCCGGTGAGCCTGTGAACTCTTCCAGAGTAAATCTTCCTTCCCCAACTGGCCCCATGATTTTACCATCAAAATCACCCCCTAAGTAGGTTAAAGGGACATAACCCCGGATTTCTCACGTTGACCACCAGAAACCGACTCCAAATCCTGACCCTCCCCCCCCACCCCCCCCCCCAAACCAGCCCGCAGCCCGGAGCTCCTGGCGCTCCAAGTGCTCCGGAAAGCGCCGCATGCGCGCGCGGCCCGTGAAGATCTGCAGGACCTGCACACGGCTCACATGTGCCATGTGAGACGTGCGACGTGCGACGTGCGACGTGCGATATGTCTGCATCTTACTCCTCAAAATTGGAGATGAGTTGCGCCACGGTCAAAGCTCTTCAAAAGAAGGCACCCTTTGAGACCCCCCTCCACCCCCAAGTTCTCGCCATGCGTCTGTACGTGAACGGTTACGCCGCTGGCAGACCGGAGCGACCGAGCTGTCGCTCGGGGCCGGATTTCTGGGCCTTCGTCATGCGCTTGAAGATGTTCTCTTGAACGTAGGGCACTTGGTGCTTGTCGCATATAGCTTTCACTCGCCTCGGCTCAGAAGCGAGAAACCCAAGTCAACATCTGAATGGCAGATAGAGATGGAGGGCTGGCACCTCCCAGGTCCCAGATGGTGCCGTCGGAAGC